CCGTGTGGGCGGGCCCCCCCGGCCCCCGCCACATCCACAACCCCTGCAGCCAGAGGGCTCTGCCCTCCCATCTCCTCTGGTCCACACCGCTCCCCAAAACCCTCTGCCATCCACATAACCTGTTTCTGCCGGGTTATTTCTCGCCCTAATCCCCAGCATGGCGGGGCAGCAGCTGGTGGTGAGATGCAGGGATCTCCAGAGCTGGCTGGGAGGAAGGAGCGGGACAGCGGAGACGGGAAGCAGGGCGATGGCCCGCTTGGAGGGCACGCGGCCGGCTCCAGCAGCGTGCCTCCTACCCCCAGCCCCTCGCTGTGCAGCAGTCTCGTAGTGTAACCCTATTTATTATGGTCAGGATCTCCCAATAAAGCTCTCCTTGAACCCGCTTCCTTCCCCACCTCTGCTTTGTGTGCCCGGCGGCCGGATTGGCCCCCGAATCGCCCCGCACCAGGCTGCTCCAGCCTCCCTGGGGAGGCTGCCGCGTCGCTGGCGGGCGCCTACCGGCTCTGGGAGGAAACCCGGCTGCTGACACGCAGGTAGCTCTCCAGTTTGGGCTCAGCTGCTTAAAGCAGCAAGACACTGGGCTAAACCCTTTCAGGGCTCCTGCCAGCCGCACCGTGCCGCGCTCAGCGGAGGGACGAGGGCGGGAGGCGTTCAGCCCCCAGCCAGGGAACTGAGCAGTCCTGGGAGGTTTCCAGGCGTTTATTCAAAGCAGAATTGCTCGTGCTTGACCGCAGAAATACCTGCTACGTCAGTGCTGGGCTGATTCTGCAGACTCGCTGGAGGGATTCCTGGGGCGGTCTCCAGGAGGCTTTTCATCTCCAAATTGGAAAAAAAGGAAATTTGACTCTTTATCAAAAGATCTCTCCTCCCAGCACGGGTTGGGTGGGATTTAAGAGAGCCCTGGCTTTCCCTTTACCCCTTCCAAAGCTACGTCCCAGCTGGGAGCCAGTCACGGCGCTCGTGTCCAGCACAGATGTTGGAGGGAGGGGAAAGGATGCGCAAAGGACACATGGGAAGGCCTGAACCCAAATTCGCCTCGAGTCTGAGCCCTTCCGCTGCTGCAAAAAGGGTGAGGACTTTCTGCATTTTCCATGCTATCTTTTGCGTATGTAGGAGAAAGGATAAGATCGTCTTTATTTTTATGGGTAATGAAACACTGGCTGATAATCTGGCCAGAACAGCACGGGCTGCTGGGTGTAAAGTGTTTGTTTCTAAAGGGAAAGTCCATTTAAATAATTAAGTTAAAAGAGCTCTGCACTTCCCTCTCCCTTCCCCAGCACGGGCCAGGCCTCCCTCCCCTCCCACCAAAGGGGTGCGAGGCCGGGGAGCAGAGTTGCAGTAGCAGGGGGGTGACGTTTCGCAGTCGCCACGGGATGTTCCCATCGAAACACGGTGTGCCAGCACTCGGACACGGGGAATTCACGCCCATGCAGCGCTGCCTCGCGTTACGGAGCGGAAGCGGAGAGCCAGCATTTCTGCCACAAAGCACCTTTCCCCTTTGGGTCCTGCCTCTGCGCAGTTCCCCCCCTTCCCCCCCCCGGCAAGCACAGCGAGAATCACAGCACCCAGCAGCGTGCAGCAAAGACGCGATGTCCACGGGGGAAAGCACCGGGCTGAACAGCCACCTACGACCAGCCTAGGGACCGCGCGCGAGTCAAGGAGGCTTTGTGTGCCTACAGGATGCCATGTCCGCAGGGGACTGTCCGCCCAAAGGCCGCGCCGGTGGGCAGCGTGGCGATAGACAGGATCTCTTTGTCTCAGGGCAGCACTCGGCTTCAGGCTGCAGCCCAGCGGCCGAGAAGGGGAGAAGGACGGGGGGCCTACAGGATGCCATGTCCGCAGGGGACTGTCCGCCCAAAGGCCGCGCCGGTGGGCAGCGTGGCGATAGACAGGATCTCTTTGTCTCAGGGCAGCACTCGGCTTCAGGCTGCAGCCCAGCGGCCGAGAAGGGGAGAAGGACGGTGGGGGAAACCGGCACGGGAAGGGCACTGCCTTGCTGGACGGTGTCCAGGATGCGCAGCCGCCTCCTGGAAACGCTTGCTGTGGGCAACCAGCCCC